ATAAAATTAACTGAACACAATATTACGAATAAAATGAAACTGTCATGAAAAATCCTAAAATAATTGTTTTCACGTAATCGTGGTTGACACATCAGGGACTGTGAATTCGTGTAAATGAAGGGATTACTGTACACGCATACATATATATAATTCATTTGAATCGTGTTGGAAAAAGAGTCGATGTGATAGTAGAATGAGATATAATTACACTTTATTAGAAAAGTTCATTATTTCGTGCTCTAAAGTCCAGTAACAGGTATCTAGGCATGTAAGTAGTAGGTAGGTAGGTAGGTAATAGTAGTAGTAGTAGTGTAATAGTGTAGTAGTAGTAGTAGTAGTAGTAATAGTAATAGTAGTAGTAGTAGTAGTAGTAGCAGTAGTAGTAGTAGTATTTTTTTAGTTAGCAGTTGAAGTAGTAGTATTTGTTGTAGCCAGTAGTCCAGGTATCTCCGTTCTTCGAAAGCTGATGGCCCACGAGAGGCTTGGTCGACCAAAACCACCAATAAAATAATAATCGTAACAATGATGATTGAGACGAACTTCGAGAAAATTGTTTTTCCTTTTTCTTCTAACTTTCACCTCGTATTATTCGACAAAACAAAAACCAAAAAAAATGTACAATTCCCGTTATAATAACGCGCGTGAAATACGATTATTAATATTATACTTCCCTCTCATCCAACAGACTTATTCTTCCTTTTCTAATCTCTATCTCTTTTTTTTTTTTTTTTTACTCCTATGGTAATACACACACACACTCGTCGAGTAATCAACGAAGAAGATCTTTGGCCCGTTCGGACTTACATAGGCGCATTTCGATAATAATAATAATATCCGGAAGTTGTTATTTCTATATACTTTGCACGTTGCCCGTAGATTTCATTTAAAAGTATACCTCTCGCTATGGCCGATTAGGGTTTACGATTTGCACGACAAATAGAGCGAATTTTCTTTTAAACACCCCTCCCAACCACTCATCCCTCCCTCTTTCCTTACTCTTCTCTTCCATTTTTAATTGCTTTTTTTTCCTTTTTCTTTTCTTTTTTTTTTATCTATATTTACAACTATGTCGACAAGAGTATACGCGAACTTAATCAATCGTTCGATATGCGACGAACAAGAACGGTTATCTCTGACCTTGATAATTTGTTTCAATATCATCTTCATTATTTTCAATCCCGAATACTAGTCTTTTTTATTTTATCTTCTTTTTGACCTAACTTTCATTGTTCTTTCTCGGTTACTCGTGCACGTGCAGGCACTTCAACGTAATTCCTCTAATTCCTAAATCTTCTCTAAGCCATTACCACTCCCTCTTCTTAGTAACCCATTTCTCACCCTACTTTACCCCCTCTAACCCCCAATAGTCCAATCCTTACACCTTGCGGAGATCAAGGGTTAGATTTATGGATACCGAAAATTGAGCTTTCTGATTCCTTGACTTTCTTTTCTTTCCTTTTTTCCACTTATTCGTGCCAAGATAACGATAATATATTTCAGGATTATCGTAGGAGGATTGCAAATACTTGCAATCCCAAGATTGTTGACTTCATTTAACTTGTTTCCCGTCCTTGTAGCGTCCATTTTCCCTCGCGGCACTGTTTTCTAAACCTGAAATACAAAAGAAATGAAGATCGTTTAATCTACTCGATGCTATTACGTAGTTCATTCGTTTAGTTTCAAGAAAATAATAATGTATAAACCTAAATTATGTTATATTATTCGCGAAAAAGGGGTGGGGAAGGTAAAAAGTGAAGTTGGTTGCTTGCGCAGTTGGGTGAGTTTAAAGAAATTTGCGAAATACGAGTTGTGCGCATGCGTACTTTATTAAAAATATTTCTATGGAGGTTTCTAACCTTTAAAATAGTAAGTTTGTATATCCTTTTTTTTTATGAGTCATTTATTGTAGTGAGCACAATACGTCACTGTGAGGGTTAAGGATTTTTATAATTTGATTGTAATTGTTTTTAATAAAATTATCAATTTTTATTGTAAATAATGATTAGAAGTGTAAAATGACAAATGTTTTTACGTTTTATTAAATAGATTTTTATTATTTTGACATAAGAATTTTAGATATTAAATGAAATCTTAATATCAAAGTGTTTATTATTATAAATGGTGTTTTATTGAAAATAAATATTTTAAAAATATTAGAATTAATATATGTCATATGTTAATTTTAATTTTCTAATACTTTTTAATTAAAATATATAGAAGGAATTGATTAATATAATTGTAATATTAGATAACATGGTATCTCAGTTATAATTCCATTCAATTTTATCTCAGCATATTCTATAAGTAAAATTAAAAAGATAGTTTATAAACATACGATCTTAAATGATTAATTAGAAAGATATAATAGAAATATGATCTGATAACGAACTAGTGTTTGATTTGACCGAAATCTATTTGAATATATGAACAATAATATATTCTAACCTCACTTTTTATCTGAAATGTTAACTGTCCAATTTCTTGAACAAATTTAAATAAAGAACAAAATTTTGAAATTAAACTATAATTATAATCGGCAATTTATTCCCATATGATATTAAATAAAAAATTATTCTATTTTTTTTATAACTTTTTCAAAAAGTGTATAAAAGATCATGTCATATGAACGTAGTTTCCCTTTAGAAAAAAAAAAAAAATTAAAATAACATTCTGATATTTATATACATATTATATTTAATAAAAATCCGATAAATAGTTGATAAAATTAAATGTTTTAAAATAAAAATCCAACAAATTTTGAATTAAATTCAGGATAAATATATTATTTCTCGCTCCAATTACGAATCAGTAAAGGAAGCCGGAACGTACGGGACAAGTTTGCAATCCTATGAAGCGAATTTCCATCTATTAAGAACCTATCTATGTATACACATACATACGCATACACAATATGATACTATATAGATATATGTAAATAATCACGTGACTATATAAAAGGGGGTAAAATTGAAGCAAGTTCTAACGAGCATTGGCAAAGTAAAAGTTCAAAAGGTCGAATTATCGATAGAATAGTGCGATTAGGACGCAAGATCCGCTTTTAAAATCATTCTCTAGTCCTAAACGATTAGGTACGTTAGATAACACTTCTCAGCACGCGTTACTGCTATTTATATTTTTATCTTTCTCTTTTTCTATCATTTTATCTAACGTTATAGTAAGAACACAATCGTGTGACTCGCAATTACAAGAAGGCGGATCAGTAGTGATACTGTTGATACTGTTAGGCACCTAACCGGTTTAGAGAGGTGCTACTCTAAACGCATATATGTTTGTGAGGGGCTACACAAAAAGGTTGAACAGTAACACAGCATCTAACTTCTTAACAGAGTATTACTATATTTTTTGCATATATATATATGTATATATTTATATAGTTATGTACGTTTGTTGGTATAATGTGTTTACCACTGTGTGGTGTGGATCTAAAACTCCTGCACGCATACCTTTACATCGATACTACGATTACCGTGTCTCATGGGTGGACATGTCCGGCATACATTCCAATACGATCGACACACCCGATACATAAGTACAAGCTTTCTTAAAGGTTTATTTATTTATTTATTTATTTTTTATCTTTTCTTCTTTTTCTGTTTACGAAATAGAATAATAGTCAAAATGAGAAAGATTATTGAGAAGTTAACTGTACTTTTTGGATTTGTGAAATTGATATTAGAATAAGGGGTCTAATTTGTTTTCTAAATAATTTTTCAAATATTATCATATATGTATAAATGTTTTTAATATTAAAGTTGTTAGTTCAAATAAAATTTATATATATATTATATACAGGTTTTTAAGAGACAATCTAATAAAATATTTACTGTATAAGATCATTTAATAAGAATTTTAGCAATTAAACAAACGCGTCGTGAGTTTAGTATTAAATAATAATCTAAAAATTGGAATACTATTTTTAAATATATAATTGAACACAACCAATGACATTAACAAATTTTATTAAATTAATTAACCAATTTAATATAAATATTATTAATATCAGTCGCGTGTTGACTGTTCAACAAAAATAGGATTATATATATAGCACATAGAATGTGAATAATTCAAACGAAAGAATTATTATAAGTAATATTCTACCCTTTTCCTCGTTTTTACAGTTATATCAATACATACAATTATTTTTGTATTTGCTTCATTTGTTTGTTATAAATAATTATTACAATTTAAATGTCAATGGGCATGGCACGGTGGCAGCACTAGTTCCTGCTCGATTAATTAAGTCAAGCAGCGTTTGAGTACGATTAGAACTTGGATGTGGGTGACCGCTTGAGAAGAAAAATTTGAAATCGCTTTGCCCGCGCATCGTAAATATCGGACAACTTCATGGTGTCGATTTTTCGGTCGCATCTAACTTCATTACAAGCGTTAAATTCGTTAAATAGGTTTTCAAGAGAAAATCTAATTAGATATTTACTGTATAAGATCATTTAACAAGAATTTTAGCAATTAAACAAACGCGCCGTGAGTTTAGAATTAAATAATAATCTAAAAATTGGAATACTATTTTTAAATATAATCAAATACAACCAATGACATTAATTAATTTTATTAAATTAATTAACCAATTTAAGGGGCACACCTAGTGTGAAATTTTCAAAAAATCGAATTTTTTTTTTTTCATATTTCGATAGGTTATACCTTTAAAAATAACATACTAAAATTTTAAATCGATATCTTAAATAGTTTTTGAGTTACAGCCATTTAAAAGAGTAGCCGCTCGGCAGTTAGGTAGTTGCATTTTATCTTTAAACGCGTTTTTCTCGAAATAGCATTTTTCGAATTCCAGTTTTTTGATCTGATCAAAAATCGGATTTTGGTAGGCCAAAAACGACCAAAATTTTGGGTAAAATTTAACTTTTTTTTTCAACATGCCGCCATTTTGTCAATTTTTGATTTTTTTGTTCGCCCGAGGGTCATCGTACAGACAATATGTTTTTGTTTAACGAGAATTTTTTTTT